GCTAATGCTATCCTGTAAAAGGCCTGGTTCTGAAAATTCTTGACCATGACAGTTCATATGTAGGTTCATTAGAGTTTGTCCTTAGGTACACTGGTACTATCTTCTCGAGTCAATGGCCCAGGGAAGAAAAAGAAGATACAGTGCAGGGAGGGCAGTGATTTTACCTCCCTTTCCTTCATGGTGTATAATTGGTCACCTTTTCACACAGTTGAGTTCATATGCTAGGTTCATTAGAGTTTGTCCTTAGATACCCTAGTACTACCTCCTGGAGTCAATGGCCCAGGGAAGAAGAAGAAGATACAGTGCAGGGAGGGCAGGGATTTTACCTCCCTTTCCTTCACAGTGTATAATTGGTCACCTTTTCACACAGTTCCTTGCTTGTTCACGAGTAATTTTGAGGCCTTGTGTATGAGCAGATCCTGGGACACACTGTAAGGTCACTCCATAACAAGTGGACAAGTGTCTGTATGTCCTGAGCTCACAAGTTCAGTCACCTGTTGAGACCAGGGTAGCTGGGGGTTTGGATGCACAAGCGTTCCCTTGTGACATTAGGGAAGTACAAAGGTATACAGAAATTATATCCACAAATCTGAGGATAACATTGGAAAATCAGGCCTCCAGTATCTTTTTTAATCTATATGAGTCTATGGTTTTTGGAGACTTTTTAGTGAAAGGCTAAGTTTTATTAATCTCTAGTCTAAAGTCTGCTCATATAACTGATATGCTTTTTTTCCTACCTAAGAATTTCCCTTGCATACACAGCAGAAAAACAAACAAACACAATCCTCTGTTATTTCCCTGAAAAACCAAAGTCCTCTTTCCTAGCAAGATTAATTTGTCAACTAATCTTAGAGCAAACACTTTATTTTAATCTGTCATTGTTTTCTGACTGGGTTTAGCAGAGGTCAGAGAAAGAGATTCATTAAAGTGATTGCGCATTTGTTTTTCGGAAAGCACGTCGGAAGATTAATGCTTTGCCAAGAAAAATAAAGAAATACAGTATTTCATTTAACACATTTCAGCTAAATGAAGTCTTAAAATCACATGCCTTGGCCCAAGTGGGGTGTTTGCAGCATAAGGTGCAAGTCATATAGTTTCTACTATCTGAAAACTGTTTAAATGAGCTCTCCTTCGCCCGTGCCATTTGTTCCACACCTGAGGTGAAGTAACTCTGGTCCCTTCTCTGATGTAGAGCCATCGGTGAGCTGACTGCCAGTGTATTTGTGCAAGTCTGTTTGCTTGTATGAAGAACCCATTTAAGCTTCTCCACCCAAGAAATTCATGTTGATTTTGGATAATCCCTGGATGATTTTATTCTGTAAAATAAATAAATAACTCTTCCAAACCTGTGACGCAACCCAGCTCTCACATATTTTGGACTATTAGGAGTGTAGCGTTTGTATTAGGGAAACATGAACTGACACGAGGCAGGGGCAATCTTATATTTGTCCAGAAGTTAAATAGGATGCATATTTCAATATAGGGTTACTTGACATTGGAGTTTCACCTGACAGGGGTACAGGGTCAGTTTGTGGTGACAGTTTTGCGTGTGGATTGCCAGACCCCACCCTGCACACTCGTCCTCCAGTGCGGCTTCTCTAGGAGGAGTGCCAAGGTGATTTGGTTTGGCAACAAACCAGTATTTCAGAAGAAAAGGAAAAGTTGTATTAAACAGCTGAAGCAATTCTCTGGGGTCAGCACTGGCTGTCAGGACTCACTTTAAGTCCAAGAGAGATGGTGTGTGTTTGTAACATAGGCCAGTAGATGTGGGAATCTGAGCATCCTTGCTCTGGGTGGTGCTGAGCAGGGCTGTGCAAGGATGCTTTGGCCCAGTGCAGTACAATGGGTCTGTGTGATCATCATCAATCATAACTCACCCATCTGATTAAAAATCACTTCTGCAAGCTCTGCTCTCCCCTGCTCCCTGAAGGAAACACTAGTGCACAGGCTTGAGTTGATTATGCTCAAGTCCTAAACTGAAGTCTGGGCAAATGCGAGGAGGAAAAAGCCCTTATTTTCACTCTACTCTTAATCCCCACATCTATGGTGCATATCCTTCCTCAGGTTCTTGCTTTGGCAACAAAACTGGTTCTGAATAGGCACATCTCTGCTGAAGTCAGTAATAGCTATAAATGTTGCCCTGAATCTTTACACTGCTATTTAGGTAGCTAAATATTGAATTAGATATCTAATGTCTTAAGTAACTGAAATCACTAATTAACTGTATTTGTCTAACATAGTTATCGACCATAACTTGAAAAATGCTGGGACTGGGCTAGGCTATATTTGCTGTATTGTTTAATGATTGCATTGCAGCAATGTTCAGCATCTCTTGTAGCAGATATTGAATTCATGTAGTGAGAAGCAGTAGTTAACCTGGGCAAGTCTGATTTTCTGTCATCTAGATGGATAATGGAAGTATAAGATTGGCTTCAAAATCATGGCATTGTATGGACAATGCAAACAGAATTTAATGTTTTGTTTCTGGGGTCTTGTGAACCATGAGAGGTTCTCTAAAACATTTATATTCCTCCTTTTTTTCTTGCTTTAATCTGAAAGTAAATTGAAATTTTTGTAAACTCACTTATTTTCAAGAATTAAAGGTATGAATGGAATGTCAAGCATTGAAAGATGTGCTGATAAATCACTGGAGATATCAGTGCCTGAGAAAAACAATCTAGAAATGATAGCAAATGTTTACAGGGGAAGATTGACCTGCTCATCCCAACACACGCTTTCGCTTGTTGCTGTATCCAGTGGGCCATCATACTTCTAGTATTCTGTGCTTTACATGTGTTATATATATATACCCTTAATTAGACTTGCCATGTTGACAGCCCACTCCTGCATGAGGTTAAGCTGCTGTGTAAATAAATAAAAAGTAGGAAAGACAGTTTGTGCTAAAAATAGAAACTGATATTAAAAAAAAAAGAAAAGTTTTGGCCTTAGGCTTTTATTTAGGGTTTTAGAAAAGAGAACGAGCTCTTTGTTTTCCATTACTTGTAGAGAGGCTAATAGGCAAAATATTACTTCCCATCTAATTTTGGATTCCTAGAGTGTGCTTTTCATTTAGAGTAAGCTACTGTGAATTACGCTAGGATATGATTATCAGGAGTTTTAGTAGAAATATTAGTCTAACTGAAGAACTTCTGTGTTGTCACCTCTGCAACAATAGTTAAAGCTCAGAAAAAAAGGCATCAGAACACATTCTTCAGCAATTTTTTTGCTTCAGAATGTTATGTTTCATACAGATGATCAAAAAGGCAACATAGTGCCATCCCACGTAGGCTACCAAATTAAAACTATCAGTGTCAGACCCCCAGTAACTACTTCACTACAGTAGCATTACTTTTTAGCATTTGAGGTTACTGACCAATTGCCATCAAATTTACCACATACTAAAAAACCAGTCAACCTACACAATTTGATGGGCCATGTTCACAGACAGAGGCAGAAAGGCTTCTGTTATCGCTTTCTCCAGGCAGGCGCAAAACCAGCTATATCTGAAATGGGTCTATGCTACTAGCTAACTTTCTCTTACTGTAGTTTTTGAGTGCCCTTTGGTCTCTTTAATGTATGTGTCTTTACAGTGTCTCTGCCTGATGGATACTTTCTTCCACATTTATTTCTTCATATAGGGAACTGATGCAAAGGACATCAAAAGAAACCAAGAGGGAAGTTAAACACCTAATTCGTGGTGGGCTGGTTAGGGCTGTGTGTGTGCTACGTCCGTTAGCTGCTCCTGAATTGTTAGAGAGGGTGGCTTTTGACAGGAATCTATCTACTGTCTGTAGGACCATGGCTCAGTAATGAGCTGGTCCCCATCATGTGTCTGAACCTTGCAGCCAGGAGATTTAGCTTCTTTCAGACTAAAGTTGCATTGCAAGTCAATGTGTAAGAAGTGTGAAAGATCAGGGGTTTAAACTGGAGTATGAAACTGAGCACTGAGATAACAGCATGGATTTAAGAGATTAAATAGTACATCTCTTCAGATAAGCTCTAGGCATACGTACCTTCATACGTTCTGCCTCCTTTCATTCATTCTTTTTTTTCAGTATTTCGTCTTACCATCTTTTGCATTGAGTAGTCCAGCTTAAATTGGAGTGGTGTATCCTTAGCATAGCTTTTAGTTCAGTGGGTAGAGCGCTATTCTAGAAGATGAAAGAGCCGTGAACCCCCTTAGATTGTGGAACCTGAGAGCCATGTCACCCACCTCGTGAGCAAGAGTTAAGGATGCTCAAATTGCTGCATATTGTTACAGGCACCAGTTCATCCTTATCTTGTTGACTGGCCAGGAAGCAAATAGTGAAGTGCTCATTGTAAGTGATTGCCTAAGCTCTTCTAGGAGGTCCCTGGCAAAATATGAATGACATTGCACAGTAACCTAGAACCATGAAACTCTAACGTGATCTTCCTCTTTGTAGCTGGATTGACCGTGATGAGAACCTGCCTAAATAGGGGTAGTTTATCTGAGTGCTAGTTCTCTGTGTTGACACATATGCATTTCATATTCTTCTTCATTCCATGGGACTTCTTTGTGCATCTTTGTTTTAAGATGGGAGATATCTGAAGGTTCTTGGTGCATGATAACATATATGGTAGTTTGTCTTGAGTGAAGGGACTCTTGTTCCTGGGCAGTGTTGCTGTTGTAGGTCCTGATCTCTCAGTGTAAAGTTGGATTGATTTAAGCTGATCCAATATCTTGAGTTTGGTCTTGTTCTGAATGAAGAGGAACACAATGCTAGATGATGTGCCATGGAGCTCCACATGTTTCCATATCCTTCACTGGTTCCCCAGCTACACATAAGTCTTCACATCCTGTGCATGTGGTTCATCAGTCTATATTTACCAATGGTGGTAACTTAAAAGTAAATTTTTAGTTTTTATTCTTTAATTAATAAGTTTATTTATTTCAGAGTTTTCCAAAGAAGTGAAAAAATGATGAGGTACTTGACACTTCTATTGTTAAAACAAAGGACTTTTGTTCTTCTGTGTTTCAGACACAGACATTAAGGAGCTAGAGGATGTTTTTGGACTTAACGGGCAAGTAGAGCATAAGCTGAACTTCATCAAAAAGAATGTATCGAAAGATATAAAGCTGGTACTGATTGCTCATTCTATTGGTTGCTACATCACACTGGAAATGATGAAGCGAGCGTCAGAACTTCAGGTACGTTAACCTTATAGAATGGGAGTTACATTATTTGCAAAGCAATGGACATGCTTAGCCTATGGGTAATGTCATGTCTTTCCTGTGGAAGCTATATTCTGCTCTACACAAACTTTCAATCCTAGTTCTCATTAAAGTGAAATAAAAACTTTAATGACTAATCCTAATATAATAAAGAAATTTGATGTAAAATAAAGTTCTTACTCTGAATTTGGACCTTTAAATGCCCTTGTAATAGAAATTATTAATAACGGTGATGAATATCTTTAGGACTTTATAAACAGATAACTAGATATTTGGTTGTTATGTTATTACACAAAAAATTAAGGCTGGTTATGATTTTAGTAGCAGCTTCTTATCTCAAGGCAAGCAGAATCCTGGCTATACATGAGGATATGTATGGAAAATAAGAGTAATATAAATTGTGATGAGTACTACTACGAAAGACATTGTTTTTAATATACAATACATATGCGTATATCATTGCTTCTGCAACTCAGTCTTGGTTTCTGTAATTTAATGAGAATGGAAGGTGTTACTGCATGTTCTTATGTATCTGAACATTTTTCTTTGTCACTGAACCAATAAGAAGGTTGAGGCAGGACCGTGTCCTTGCAACTCTAGAAATGGCAAACTGCTAGTTCTTAGTAATAACTCACTCTGCGAGCGGGTGATGAATGAAGAATACTGAATTTTTATTCTTAAACCTCCACTCTTGCTAAATCATTGCCTCTTCCTTCACATTACAAAATCTTCAGTGGAAGGAAGTGCAGTGTTAGTGTAAAGTCTGTGTTTAAAATATGCATGAGCAGGTTCTGCCACTTCTTCATAGCCATTTCCACTGCACATCTAACCTTTTTTTGTTTGTTTGTTTAAAGGAAGCAGCAACTAAAAATGTAAAATATGAGGTTAACCTGATGTATTTCCACAGGCATATTTCACTTTGTGGTTATAAACAAGAGCATGTTTTTTGAGAGAACTTTTATTACTGTGTTATCTTTTCAAGAGGGAGCATTCTAGAAAATATCATATGCAGTAATTTGTCAAAAAAAATCAACTTCTCTTTGGTCAACATCTGTACAGTCTTTATTACACAAATTATTTTATCTGGTTTCAATTAGACTATGAATTTTTGACAAATTTTTTTACACCTGGCTCACTGGATACTGGCAGCATGCTATTCATCAGTGTTTTGAAATGTAGGTATCTTTGGGACATTCTTAGACTGCACGATGCACAGAGAGCATGAAGTTAATACATTACAAACTATATTTAAGATGCATTTAACAGTAGAAAATATTTGTGTAAGCCAGAGTGTTGTGCAACCTTTGACACTTTGCCAAAAATAAGTTAACTGTTGGCTTTTATAACATATGAAGTGTGATAATAAGAAACTTGTGTTTCCATCTCTCCCTTTATTTTTACTGGAATATTTGATTCCCACAAGATTTTGAGCACATATGTGTATTTTAGTAGCTAGATCATTTGATTTTATTTTTGTGTAGTTCTTATGTGATATTCTTTTATTACATGAGTTTTGGTTTTGGTCTTGCTTTAAGAGCCTTTGATTGCCTACGATTTGTTTTTTTCTGAGCTAGGGTTAATATATTTTACTTATTGTTCAAATAATTTGGTAAATGTTTATATTTGGAGCGTATGTTTAGCAGATTTGGATTTTCTTAACCCAATTTAAAGCCCTTTTGTAATCTAACCAGATAGAGGCTAGATTGTTCCTCTCTCATACTAAGATGAGGGAACCTGATGAACTTAAGCTGGAATGCATGAAAAGGAGAAAGTGTTATCTCCTCTCTCCTTGGTTGCTCTTTGGCTGTCAGTTTTGAGTGCTGCTAACTTCTTGAGCCCTTGTGCTCTGCAGGTTGATGGGGTACTGTGTTGTGTTTTTTTCCTTAAACTTCTGTGAAATAATGCTTTTTTATATCATTAAAAGAGAAATGAAACAAGAATTGCCAGTTTACCCCAGGATGAGTTCAGTTTTGGACCCCATGCCTGTTTTCCTATTGACTCTCAGGGAGGCTTGGGTTAACCGTTTCTTCAGGAGACCCCTTAACACAAACTGAAACGTTAATCAGCCTTGCTGTGTAGAGGTGGAAAAATGCCATAATGTACAGCTTGCTTGATACGTGGTCTTAACCTCATAATCTTCTTTGCTCTTCGTTCAGACAGCAAAACTGAAAAATGAAGCTGAGTGACAAAATTATTTTCTCAGTTGTTGGTGCTTGAGCCTAACTCATGAATATGCTACATCATCCAGGCATTCTCATCTAAAATACAAATCCTTACTTGGAGTATTTCCTTGTGCTTTGCTGGCAGCACTATTGAGTCTTCCCTAAAACAGTCTGTTTGATCATTAATTTAATCAAAAGATTGACATACTTCCTTGCTAATGAAATTCAATCTGTTACTGCATTAGTCTTTCATTTGCAATGATGGTTTTGAAATGCCAGCACCTTTGTGGTAATAAAATAACACTTATTAATGAGTGAAACCATCATAGAATGTGAGCATTGCTCTTTCTGTAAAGCTCGTTGAGGAGGAAGAGGTTAAAACCTCTGAGTATGTATCAGTTTAAGCAAATAAAATTTATGTAATATAAAATTCAAAACCATTCATTGCTACTATGTCCCGGTGGTGCCAAAGAAAATTGCTAGAACTTGGTTGATTTTATAAATAATAGCTAACAAAAGGTAAGTCAGAATACCTTGTGTATAAAACAAGTTCATACCTCGGAAACCCTGTCACATCATTTGTGTGCACATGTTCGTGTGCATCTGCCTTATCTTCCCTTCACTGTGTTCTCTTCCAAACAGAAATCTGTTGCTCTGTACTTTCTTTTGAGAAATCTGATGAGAGTAACAAAACAATATAGTTGACATTTAACGATTCCACAGATTTATACAGTAACATAACCATATTTTCATGGTTTCTTTCGTTTGTCTGTATACAAATTGCGTTGAGGTCTTTCACTGGAGAAGCTGCAGCTTGTTCAGGATCTGGTGATGTGTGTAGCTTAGGGTTTTGTTACAACAAATCAGTACTGACTGTCACCCATCAGGAGGCTGTTCACTAACCAAGTTTTCTTCTTCTTTCAAGTTAAGCAAACATTTCTTCATTGCTGACTATTCTAAATTATTTTATGATGTATAAAAATGTATAAAAATATAAAATGTTGCTGCTATTCCCTTTTATAAATAAATTAAACATGCCTAACAGGAGATAACAGGCATTTTTTATTAACCTTTTGAACTTCTGAAGTTGGCTGTATATCCCTGCTGTTGGTTTTCTGTCTGTTTTGGCAGTTTCTAATCCATATATAAATGTTTCTCTCACCCATTATTAGTATTATTAGTGGTCACGGGGATTGAGTTACCTCAATGGGAAGCATTTTGCTGGAGCTTTTTGAATACAGTTATTTTAGATGATGCTCCTATATGTGCATAGTAGCTTTATTTTTTTCTTCCTTTTTTTTTTTTCCGAAATATTCAGTTAAAAAAGCAAAAGAGATTTCATCTCTAAAGCATTGCTGTTGTTACATCTGATGTTAGAAGAAAACAGAAATATATTTTATCATTCTTTTTTAAATTTAGCTGATAATAGATTAGTCTTCTGTCATTCCAAAGCTTCTGTTGTTGCATTGTTACTAATGGGGTCCTTTATTACGGTTGGTGTTTCCCTAAATCACACCTTTAGCGTGACCTGTGTCATCCTCATTTTGTGGTTTCGTACTTGAACCAAAAGGCCACATTCCATCTGTTGTGAGCAGCGTGCTTGGAGACATGGATGGCCTACAGGTGCACAACAGAAGGATGGATGTCACAGCTCTGTTAGCTTCTTTTTTTTCCTGTTGTCTGGAAATCTGCTTCTTCCTGATTACCTTCAGCCCTTTGCTACACATCTTAGTGGGAGAAGACGTCTCTGCATGTGGCCCTTCCGACAAAGGCATTGATTGGGATATGAAATTTCAGAAACGCTGTTTTCTTTGCCATCTCTTGACCAGGGAGGTTTCTTTTTCAGCATGTGTGAGAAATTACCTGTATATATAGAAGCAGTTTGTTTTAAAAGAAGCTTTACTAAAACAGTGAAAAATGGCAATAGATAGTTTGCATTGCAGTGTATCTTTGTATGCAACATACAATGCAATAAATGATTATTCACTTATAGAAGAAAGAAATCTCTCTTAACAATTATGTGAACATCTATCCATAAGTACTATTTTTTGTAGTAAGACAGAATGTGACGTTTAAAGCAAATTAACTATTCCTGAATAAGTCCTGTAAAACATTCCGATTCTAAATCAAATGTCTTTTTCTGATGTAGCAAAAAAGAGCCTACCTGCTAAATGAGTTGTTTTCACGTCTTTTTGTGTGATGGGAGTAGTTATTTAGGAGGAGGGAGGAAGTAAGTCAGTTGTTCTGTAATGGCTTAAAATCTCACTGGGACAAACATTACTCACTGCTGCCTTCTGCCTGGAATCAAGTTGGTTCTTTTGTCTCTGGTTAACAGTTCCTTTCTGTTGAAGTACTTGGAAAGCTCCCCCTAACTTTAGTGAAAGTAGAATTGGGCCATAAAAGAGAGAAATATGTCAGAATTCCTCTGCTAAGTGATTTATTGTACAGAATTCAATGCAGTGACCCTTTCCATTAATAATTTTGTCTCAGTCATGTTGAAAGCTTGATTATGAATTTGGGAAGCATTTTCATAATGTTAAGAAAGATAAAAGTCACCATGCTTTTAAATATGGGTATTTCTACAAGAAAACAAAATTCTTCATTATAGAATTACTGGAATCCACGGGGACAAGAAGATTAAAAGAGGGAGATTTTTCAATTGTACAGAAACTGCTAAGCATGTCTGACCTTTGAGATAATACAGGAATCTTTTCAGCAGCATGAATGGATGAGGGAAAGACTGTATGAAGGCAATGACACTTGTTCAGTTTCTGTTTTGCTGGTATTAGAACCTGTATATGTAATGCAGGACTG